ACCAGGACAGCTCAGTGGGCTGCACCTGGCAGAGCTGTGGGAGTGAGGCTGCCCGATGCTTTGGGGGCTCAGATGCCCCACCGTGCTTAATGTTTGCCCTGTTTGGGTTTTGGATTTATTTTGGGCCTGTTTGTCTTTCTTTTCTGTTCCTTTCTTCTGGAATGGTAATGTGTACTCAGTGTCTGTCCTATGGTATCTTGGAGGTGGATAAATTTGTTTTTGATTTCTACAGGTTCACAGCTGAAAGAAGTTTTGCCTTTAGTCTCAGATGAGACTTTGAACTTTCCAGTTGGTGCTGCAACAAGCTAAAGACTTTTGGGACTGTTGGGATGGAATGTCACTAAATATAGCTGAAAAGGTAGAGCTACGGGGGCAAGCCTCAAGGTGTGTAATATGTACAATAGGTTATATGAATGTACAACAGGTTATATGAATGCAAGGGTCATTCATCCTCGCTAAGGGAACATCGTGGAAGATTCTGAATGCATAGATTGTATGGCAGGGGACTCCAAAGGGGTGGATTGTAGGGAAAGTGAATATAAATGATCAGGGTCCCTTGAGGGGTTCGGAATCTTGCCTGGCATTTGATGTAAATATGCACGTGTGCCCAGGTGTTCCTTGGCTGTTGTCTAATGTAATTATGTGCACCCAGGTGGACATGCTGGGTTATGGACTTAAGTATAAAGGATGAGTGGCTCTGATCCACAGTGCCTCCCCCCGCCCCGGATGCCCCAGGGGGGTCCACAGAGAGGCCGCTACTGCTGCTGGAGGCTGTTGCTGCCTGTGCCCTCGGGATGCCCCAAGAGGCCACTGCTGCTGTTGCTTCTGCTACTGCTGAGGACTGAGCTCGTGCCGTCTGCCAACGGCTCCTGGGATATTTCCCAATTACCTACCATGGACCTGTGTGTGAGGGGTCTGGTGACCCAGCCTGGCATGTGAAGGGTCTGGTGACCCAGTCTGTACAATGGGTTTGAAGGGTCTGTGAGCCCTAACCCCTAGCCCTGACAATACAAATGGAAAACTTAGTGTTAACTAAAATAATGAAACGTTTTGGCTTTAGTTATGAGTTGCTTTAACAATACTATTACCCCAACCAGACAATTGGCGTAGCAATGACCCTAGCAAGACACTAGTCAAGCTTCATTCCGTTTATACTTTAAAGTCGAAGGTTTAGACAGACTGTTTTCTTTTGCCTTGAAATTATTCATGTTTATTCTTGTACAAGGTGCTGAGATCCTTTTTAAGCTGCTGTTCCTCGTGGTTGAGGATGACAGATTAAACACCCAGGCTTTCAGGTGACGGCATTCATGTACCTCGGGCTTTCCCCTCCAGCAGGGCATTCCCGTGCAGCTCTCGGAGATGTGCTGGCTAGTAGTGATTGTCCAGTAGTGATTTTCCATCGTAGTAGTTTTTCCTTGAGGGCTTCATACAATCTTCTCAGGTAGCAGAGAGGGAGACTTTCTTGCCAACACCATTTCTAAATATAAACTTCTAATTAGACAGGCTGTTAGAACCTCCCTTGGAAAGGTCATTTGTAAAAGTGGATTTTGGCCACTCTGTAAGCAGTCCCCCTTCACTCACATCATTTGGACAGTGTCGTGTGGTCATAGTCAGAAAATAGCATCATCTGCAGTGGCCTGCTGATTATGTAAGGCCAGAAGATCTTTGGTGTTAGATACCAAAGAGCTTGGGACTGCTGGCTTCTCCCCTTCCTCAGGACTAGTTCTTATGAACTCTCTGTTTCCAAGTTTTGTAAAATGTTACTGTCTGTTTATTGTCCTCAGATCCGTCTTATTTGCAAAAGAAAAATAAAAGCCATGGTTACCGTTTCATTGATTTTAAAAAAACTAATGAAGAAGTGGAAATGTTGGTGAATCTTGGCTGTTTGGGTTTTCAAGAGGCTCAGTCACGTCTAGATTGTCAGTGTGAGTGAAATTAATGTGTTCATTCATACATTTGCCTTCATTGGTCCTGAAATTCCATGTGGAGATATAAAGGCTTGGTTTTAGGTAGGTGTAATGCGGGAATTTAACTGGGGCCTTGAACACGATTTAGGGTCAAACCTCCTGAATTTTTATGCAAAATCTGTAATGTATTTTTCTTGGTAGAGGATTCTATAACTTCTGTTAAGTTTTCAAAGGGATCCATATCCCAGTGCTCTTAAGGAGCCTTGTGGAATGTGCAGAATACCTCACTGCAGCTGGGATGGTGCCTTGATTGGGACCTCAGTCCCCTGATTGGAGGTGTCACCATACTTCTTGAGTATTTCATGTGGCCCCTTAGGGTGGAAGTGGATAACTGGGCCATTCATAGTCAGAAGGAAGTGAGCAGAAAGGAAAAGGGAAGCTCAGAAATGATGGATTGACAACATTTTATTTTAGAAGCAATTGTACCCTTCACAGATGCTGGTTGATTCCTATAACCCTAGGGAAAGGAGTTAAGAACATGGATTCTGGAGCCAAATTTCCCAGGTTCAAATCCCAGCCCTGCTATTTGGTGGTTGTGTATCCTTCAGCAAATTATGTAATTTCTGTGTGCTTCAAGTGTCCTCATAAAGTGGGGATAATTTGCTTCATAAGGATGTTGAAAGGATTAAATGAAATAATGTAAAGTCTTTTTGATAGCATGTAGTACATGGTAAGTGTGTAATAAACATTAGCTGTTATAATGGAGCCATGCGGTTGTGTGTAGTAATGTAAAGAATAGTAAAACAGGGGCAGTTCAGTTTTGGTGTGCATGTGTAGGTTGTTTTGCACCTGTCTCCAAAAAGTCACCTTCCTTCAGCATTTGTCTACTTATGAGCTATTTCAAACAAATTTTGGCGCACAAACAAAAAGGTGAAAAGAATACGGTCATACATTCTTTTAGTAAAATAGGATGGTCCATGTTCTTGTGACAAAATATTGCTTGGTGAGGTTCTCCTGTTAAATGACTATCTGTTAAATGACTCACCGGATGAGAATACTGTTTCATTTTTGTCTCTAGAAGTATATTGATTAATCTTTGATCCTAAATTTCATCTAAGATATGGTCATAGTCTCATAGTCTGAGATTTCACTTATATGGTCAATTTCTCCGTTATCTTTAGACTCCACAGAACTGCTCTCTGTGCCTTCATTCATCTTCTGATACATCTAATAACTGTGAAATGTCTTTCTCTCTCACCTTGCTTCTTTTTGCCATTATGGGTGGAAAATGAAAAATTTTTAATTCTCAGCTGTGTCTGCAAAGACAATATCTTCAGACTTCTTTTATACCTTCTTGAAAATGGTGAAATTCCTTGGGCAGTGCAGTGAGAACTGAAGGATGATGTCGTAGTGATGACATTTCACTATTGCACCCTCTTGGGTGATGTCCTATGATTCTCCTGCTTTCTTAATTTAGTCTTTTTCTTGTTTTGATCATAGGTGGCAGTAATTGATGGGTAATGATGAAATAATTACTAGGATGATACAAAATGTTTCAACCTATTGGAAAAATAAGATCACTAACATCCCCTATTGCATCTTAGATTTTTAAAAGGGTTCAGTGGACTCATGAAAATTGCAAGGTAAAATGAATTTTTGGAAGACTCCTAAGAAAGAATGAATAAGAGTCATGAAATAGCAATCCTTAGAAATAGGTAGAACTGTTCAAAAAAGAAACTCAAAACTGACATTGGATCCAGTGGACCCTGATGGTTTGTGGGGGTGACTTCAAGCTTCTTATACACCATCTGAAAGAAATAACTTGAAAGGCAGACAGAGATTAACACATGAAGGTGTTCATCACAGTGTTTTTATTAAAAAAGAAAAAACCTATGGGCTGGCCCGGTGGCGCACTCGGTAGAGTGTGGCACTTGGGAGTGCGGCGGTGCTCCCGCCGAGGGTTCGGATCCCATATAGAGACCGGTCCGCTCACTGGTTGAGCGCAGTGCGGGCACGACACCGAGGGTTGCGATCCCGTTTCCGGTCGCGGTACGGGCGCGACACTGAGGGTTGCGATCCCGTTACCAGTCACGAAAAAAGACAAAAAGGAAAAAAAAAAAAAAAGAAAAAACCTAAATGTATGACAGTAATGGGTTAATTATGCCACATCAATATACCAGTTTTATGTTATAGTTTAAGGTCATAATATCAATATACCACAGTTTTATGTTATAGTTTAAGGTCATAATCTGGGAAAGCCTGTAATGATCTGAGGATAGAGTCATGATTGAATGTTAAATTGACAGAGCATAGTACCAACCAGTACAACAATGTGAGTCATCTATATAAGCTGTATACATAGAAAAATATTGGCAGCAATTATATAAAATGTTGATAGTTTTTTTGAGTGGTGGGATGTGTTATTTAAGTTTATTATCTATACTTTTGTCTTCTAAAATCTGTAACTAGCATGCATTTTTAAAGCAAAACAAAAATTTTGTGATGTTGAAGTAAGTATTCTTTTTTAATAACAGTTTTATTGAGATATAATTTGCATACCGTACAATTCACCCATTTAAAGTCTCCCATTCAGTGGCTTTTAGTGTATTCACAAGAGGTCCTCAACAATCACCATCACCACAATCAACTTTAGAACATTTTCATTACCCCCAAAAGAAATTCCATGCTCATTAGCAGTCACTCTCTACTTCCCGCAATTTCCCAGTCCTAGGCAATCACTAATCTACTTTTTGTCCCTATGGATTTGTTTTTTCTGGACATTTCACATAAATAACTTTAACCACGCTTTATTTAAAAAATTTTTTTTTGCTGGCTGGCTGGTACGGGGATCCGAACCCATGATCTTGATGTTATAAGGCTGCACTCTAACCAACTGAGCCAACTGGCCAACCCCCATTTCGTATAAATGGAATCATATAGCATGTGGTCCTTTGTGACTGTCTTTTTCCACTCAGCATGATGTTTTCCAGATGAAGCAAATCATTCTTGTACTCTAGTTTATTCATTTTATTTAGAAATCATATTAACCCTTATGTATTGTGTGGTATAATGTATTTTCTTCTTTACTTCCAGAATTGGTTCCTTCAATTATGAGCAACTTGTTGAATCCAGATGCCATTTTCTCGAACAATGAAATGAGCCTGTCGGACATTGAAATCTATGGCTTTGATTATGACTACACCTTGGTGTTTTATTCAAAGCACCTGCACACGCTGATATTTAATGCTGCTCGGGACCTTCTCATCAATGAACACCGGGTAAGACCACAGGGACGTTGCCTCTTCCTCCCTCTTTTTTTTCATAGGTATTTGGAGAACAACCTTGAGCTGGCCTGGCCCCATGCCTGGCACATAGACATCTTTTAGTTACCTGTTGCTGAATGAATGAGTAGATTTTGTTCCATTCCACATTTCCAAATGACTCTTACCTGGAAGATAGTTGTTTTTTTTTTAAAAGTCTTTAGATGTCTCTTTGGCAAAAGATTGTCCCAAGGTATGCATTAGTGCAGATTTGGCTACAGATATTTACCCTCTCATTTTTTGCAGAAGGGCAACATAGTTTCTCCCAGAGCTTGATGAAGTGGCAGCCTGCTGAGTTCTGGTTAGAAGGGCTTCCTCAAATGATAGGCAATGTTTTACCCTTACCACTGGTTGGCATTGCTTTCTTATGTAAAGAATATTTAAATGTCTTCTGATGCATAGCATTGTTGAGAGCTTTTAATGAGGAAGGAAATAAACCAAAATGCTCAACACCTAACTTTCTTTTCTCTAGTCTGGTTTGAGTACACATTTCAGGAATCGGGATGAGAAACATCCTCAGAGGTCATCTGGACTAGTGCCCTTGAAGTACCCCTGACATCATCCCGAGAGGTGTGTCTTGAATCTCCATCTTGGACTGGAGCACACTATCCCAGGAGGCAGTTGTGACTTTTAGGAGGTTCTTCCAGGGTTGAAGAATCTTGCCTTTGTACAGCTTTCACCAATTGATCTCTCTTCTTCCTTCCTTCCTTCATATACTCCCTAAGTCTTTAAGTGCCTCCAATGCTCCAAGCTCTGTCACAGAGGCAGGAAGGACAAAGATGAATAGGACACAGGCATTGCCCATGGAGAACCAAGAGGCTGGGGCCGGGGGGAGAGTTGGTCATGTAGACAGATAAATCATGAAGCCACCTGGTGGAGGCCTCTGTAGACAGAACAGAGCTGAGGATGCATACGGAATGGTTGGAACAACGTTCTCTGCCTGAGAGAATTGGGGAAAGAAAGAAGATGATATTTCAGCCAAGTCTTGAAGGAGTTTGCCAGCAAAGGTGGGCTAAGGGTGGGTGGGTATGAGTAACCTAGAAACCCAGATCTGCAGACTGATGTTTGAGTAGTGGACATCTAAGCATAATGGGCTGGGTGTTGTGCAGACCAGCCATTGTGCCCTCCAGGACTTCTCTTTTCCCAGGCTGATCGTTCTTCGTTCTTTCAAGCATGTTCATTTGTCCTCTTTTCTGTTCTTTTCACCATCCTGGTCACCCTCCTTTGTGTGAACTCTGGTTTGTCCGTCTCAAATATGAGACCTTGAATTGAAGATATTACTCCAGATGGGGTCCAACTAGTATGGAATAGAGGGAGACCATTACCTCCCCGATTCTGGATTCCATACTTTTATTAATGTAGCCAAAGTTTCCATTAGTTTTGGATCCAGACTATTTGATCCAGTATATTTTCTCATCCCTCTCAACTTTTGGTTATCAGTGGGCTTAAGCAACTCATTTTGTCCTTGTCCAAAATGCAGAAATGGTGTTTACCAAAAATAACCTTCCCTTCTGCCACTAAGCCAACAGCCAGCTTTCTTTAGTGACGGCCAGTTTACTAGATGTAAAGCCACCTAGCCACTTGCCGTCCAGCAGCACTTCTCCATTTGCTCAAAAAACTATCCATTACAAGCGCGGTCCTTTCCCTGGGCCGTGAGGATGGAAGCAGTATTAGAGCCAGGGGGTTCTGCCCTTGCTTCCTGTCTGCCATCCACCACCGTCTCTTCACCACCCCACTGGGAGAGCGAGCTGGAGGAATGCTGCAGCGGTGCCGGCGTTCTGGTCCCAGGGCAGCTGCAACATTCCTGTGACTTTGATGTCATTAATGCAGGCCATTGTCCTAACAGCACTGTGCATTGATTGTCTGCTGGGTGCTGAAAGCACAGGTTCTAAAGCAAATCCTGGCTGCAAATCCTGGCTTTCACCACTTATTTCCCATGTAATCTTGATCAACTCACCCAATTTCTCTGGGCCTCAGTTTCCTCCTATGTAAAATGGGCTTAGTAACAGTGCTTTCCTCACAGTGTTACTGTGATAACTAAATGAGTTAATATATGTAAAGGAAACACTGAATAAGTGCTAGCTGTTGCTAATATTATTATTTCTAATATGCACAACAACTCTGCACATACATGTTGTCTCTGTTTTACAGTTGAGGAAAGTGAGGCTGAAAGAGTTAAGCTGCTAGATCAAGGCCACAAGCACCGGGTAAGATCACAGGGACGTTACCTCTTCCTGAGGCAGAACCAGGATTTGAACTTAGATCTGTCTGTTTCCAAGGAACCTGTATGCTCTCTCTGACTCCTTGTTGCCCCCGGCAGGGTTAATAACACCATTCTACCCTATGGGATTTTTTGTTCAGATGAAAATAAAATATTCATGAAAATAAAAAATTTATGAACATGAAAAATTTATGAAATTTGTGGGGAAAGATAGATAAAATAGAGAAAAGCCTCTAGATTTAAGAATCATTGAGATTTCATTCTCATTATGTCTGTCTTGTGCTGCGATAAAAGAAATAAGTTATAATACTAATTATATCAGGCATATTAATAGAGTTAATTATGCTCATGCAGATTTTTCTCGGGCTCTGATTAAACAAAATAATTCTTCCAAGATGCACTGAGTTCAGTACCATTTTTCCTGCCAAGACCGAGTGTACTTTATGTACTTGTGGAGATGGGAAGACATCTGCTTTGGAAATGCACAGTAATAGAACAGTACATTTGCAATTTAGCATCTTTCTAAAAAGCCAATATAAAAAGTTCAGCTCTTTCATAATTACTCAGTTTTTTCAAGAACAAATTTTTACAGAAATAGAAATGGAAAAAAAACTCAGGTAATAAGTGTCTGTATTTTCCTTTCACACGACCACCAAGGAGAAGAAGGAGCTGTTAAAGCTCTTGATTTCCTCTCCAAATTCACACATTTGTCAACGTTCTCTTCTCATTTGTTGGTGCCCACAATCACCTGGTCATTTGAATACAAAACCTAACATCGGCTGTGACCTCCTGCATTCTGTGTCCCACATCCAACTTCTCAGCAAATGCTGTGGGTCACTCTTTTGTTTTAAAATAAACTTAGTTTTAGGCTTGCAGAAAAGTTGCAAAGATAATACCAAGTTTCTGTATATATACCCCACACCCAGTTTCCTCTAATGTTAACATTTGACGTTACAGTGGTACATTTGTCGCAACTGAAGAACTAATAATGGTACATTATTATTAGCTAAAGTCCATACGTTGTTCAAATTTCCTTAGGTCTTACGTAATGTTCTTTTCCTGCACCACTATCCTATCTAGGAATACCATATTACATTTGGCTGTCATGTCTCCTTAGGCTCCACTTGGCTTTTTCTGATTTTCCTTGTTTTTGATGACCGCGACAGTTTTGAAGAGTACTGGGTGGGTATTGTAGAGTCTGATGTTTTCTTCGTGATGAGACTGGGTTATGGGTTCTCTGGAGGAAGGCCACAGAGGTGAAGTGCCGTTCTCACCACATCATAATGAGGTTACCTGCTGTGCCCCAGGCTCTTGGCATCCTTGCCAGCCACCTCTTCTCACACCTGCCCTAGCTGGCTCTGCTCCAGCCACGCTGGCCTCCTTGGTGCTCCTTGAACTGCCACACACCTTGCTGCTTTTGGGTGTTGTCGCTGGTTATTTCCTCTGTCTGCCCTGGAGCACCTGTCCTGCCCACAGACAGCCTGATGGCTTGTTCCTGATTTTTTTTTTTCCATATCTCTGAACCCTCATACTGCATTTTCTTTATAGAACATACCACTGCAAGGCATCATACTCTGTTTGTTTATGGTCTGCTTCCCTATGGTAATGTGGAAACTTCTTGGGGCAGAGACTTTGTCAGTTTCGCTTGCTGACGTATTTCCAGACCGTGGCACGGTGCCTGGCACAAATTACGTGCTCAATAAATACTTGATGGCTGCACTCGTAAATTCTGCAGGTCAGTGAGAGTGTTGGGCTTCATGTGGGCCAGCACTCTGATGAGATCATTTTACCGTAGCTTATGTGTAGATTTTGGAGAGCTTTGTTTTTATGTCCTTCTGTCCCGCCTCTGATTTGACTCATAATTTAGGCTACTTTAAATATCAGACTGAGACCTCTGGGAAACGGATGTGTTTATGGGCCTCTGGACCCCAGGAACTCACAGGCAGTGTTTAATGTAGAGGCTGCTAGCTGTATTCAGAGATCTGTGATTGGCCAGGAAGGAGGCACATGGCCAAGCTGCAGGACTGTAGGAAGTATGTACACAGGGAATTCTGGGTTTTCTGCTGCATTTTGGTATTAACTTATCTTGAAGCTGTAGGCACATTTCTGTAGCATTTTCAGGGGGACACTTTTTTTTTTATCAGCACATACTAGCCTGCCCAAATTGTACCTGGGTTGGAACATATCCAGGTACTGAAGGATACCAGACCTGGGCCTAAATTGAAGTTTTAATAAAAATCCCAAGTAAAGGTCTTTTATATTTCTTACTACTTGTAGGGAAACCACTTATCTCCATGACTCCTCAATTGGGTGAGTCTTGTTTTTCTGGGTGGTGAAGTTTCTAAATTATGAAGAGTCCTGAAGATCTAGCCATAGACCATTGCAGAGGACTGTAACTGACTGGCTGATGTGAAGAGCTCTGGCTTCCTGGGCTGGATGTTACTGTTAGTTATTCATAGAGGTGCTAGTGTGTGTGTGTGTGTGTGTGTGTGTGTGTGTGTGTGTGTGTGTGTGTGATTGTATGTGGGTTGGAAAAGGGCCCATCATGAGGACATTTTTGACTTGCTGGATGTATGGGGAAATTACAATTTAAGGGCAAGAGTGGATTCTAGAAATCACCCTAGTTCAATCATTTCATTTTGCAGATGAAGGAAGAGGCCTTGGAGAAAGGCCTGAAGTCCTATAGGAAAGTAGCAAAGGCTAGCAGAGTAGATTGAAAGGCCTCCCATTCCCAATCCAGGGAAGCATCTCAATTTTGTGGAGCACTTGCTATGTGCCAGGCACTGTCCTGGCTGCCACATGCATTTTTGGACTTAATCCTCTTTGCTGCCACATAGGGTAGGGCTCTTATCACATAGGGTAGGGCTCTTATCCTTACTTTGTAGATGAGAAAACCGAGTCTCCTAGACATGGAGGACCTTGCCCAGGGTCACTCAGCAAGCACATGGCAGGACCAGGGTTTGTTGTCTGGTCTCTCAGCCCCAGGCCCCATGTTCTTCACTGTGACATTGCCCTGTTGAGGCTCTTTCAGCTGCTTCTGTCAGTTCTCAAAGTCATTTGCAATAGTCTTCGGACCATTTGAAAAACTATGTATCTCTTGAGAGTGGCTCCCCAAGAGTAACACAGCAATAGCAAGAGGTGGGGGATGTGAGCGTGTGGGGCTGTGTCCTGCTGGGGAGCCCACATAAGCCTCGTTCAGAGAAAGAGCCGAGGCTTTTCAGCAGTGTCCACTCTGTTACTCACGTACCATCTGTCAACAGTCAGCACCCTGCTCGTCACCGTGAGTCCTTTCAGCAAACTCACTGACCCCCCTCTGAGGTGGCAGGTGCTGTCGTCACAGGGAGGCAATGAGCATCCAGTGTGGTGGCCCAGAGTGGACTATGTGGTGGTTAGGGGTGGACTTGGGTGTGACACAGACCTTGGTTCAAATACTGGCCCGACCACTCTCTAGCTGGGTGGTCTTGGGCAAGTTTCTTGACTCTGATCCTTAGATTATTCAACAGTAAATCAGGCAGGAGATGCCCTGCCTCCTCCATGCTGGTATGGGGAGGAATAAATAGGGTCTTAGAAAGTGTCTAGTCTAGGGCCGGCCCGATGGCGCACTGATACAGTGCGCCGCTTGGGAGCGCGTTGGCGCTCCTGCTGAGGGTTCGGATCCCACATACAGACCGGCCGCTCACTGGCTGAGCGAGGCACGGGTGCGACACCGAGGGTTGCGATCCCGTTGCCGGTCCCGGTCCGGTATGGGCGCGACACTGAGGGTTGCGATCCGTTGCCGGACACAAAAAAAGACAAAAAGGAAAAAAAAAAAAAAGAAAGTGTCTAGTCTAGTGTGTGGCACATAGCCAGTGTTGAATAAAGGTGCCTCTCTCAATGACATTTTAAGTATATCTTTCATGTGTGATCTCTTATTCATTCATCACTCCCAAGTTTAAAAGGAGACTTCAGAGTTGCTACAGTTCCTTGGCGTCCTTTCTGTGAGCAGAACTGTGTTACTGTGCGTTGGGTATGGCATTGGCTGTGCGGAACGTGTCAGTGAAGATGCAGAACTATACACAGTGTTCACAATTCTTGGAAACGCCTAGGGGTGGAAATATCAGTTTGGTGATTTCTTGGCACGCACAGCAGGTGTTAGACAGATGAGCCCAAATGCGACATTTGAGTCAGTGCTTCATGCAGCTTGACTTGAAAACTTGCCACGTGCGGTTCAGCCTGGTAGGACCGGGAAATGTACTCACACAAATGCGATCCCAGCCAGGAAGAGCTAGCAGGACATCCATGGAGAAGGGTGTCCTGGGCCTCTTAATAGTTGTGCAGGTTCTTAAGCAGTTTACGTCATGATCAGCAATTTGGGGAAGGCAGGAAGGACTTGAAGGCCCGATGCAGTAGGTGGGGAGGAGCCAGCCTTCTCGCATAGTGGGAGGAATGGCGGAACAACCAGGAAATTACCAGGGGAGCCAGCTGTTTTATGGTGGAGCATTGATGTGGAGGCCACATGCAGGGAAGGGCCTCCTGGTCTGAGTTGGGGGAGGCGGGACCTGACAGCTGTGGGCTTCTCCAGCTCCCGAGGGGGAGTGGCACCCGGCCGTCCAGATGAAAAAGGCGATGAAAGCTTTATGGCAGGGCCCCCCCCCCAAGAGGTTTTCTTGCTCTGAAATAAAGTAGTAAGATAATGTTGACAATATCGGTCCCTTCCTGATCAGACTTTTCCTGTACTCTTTTTTAAAAAATTGTTTTTTCTTTTTTTCGCCTCTACCCTTTTTTTTGTCCTTTTTGTCTTTTTTCGTGACCGGCAACGGATCGCAACCCTCAGTGTCGCGCCCGTACCGGACCGGGACCAGCAACGGGATCGCAACCCTCGGTGTTGCGCCTGCACCTCGCTCAGCCAGTGAGCGGCCGATCTGTATGTGGGATCTGAACCCTCGGCGGGAGTGCCGCCGCGCTCCCAAGTGGTGCACTGTAGCAGTGCACCACCAGGCCGGCCCCAGGGCCCCCCTTTGAAAAGTGTTCACCTTGTGTCTCTCCATGAAACCTGGGAGCAGGTCATCCAGGGGGCTGCTACATGGAGAGGCTCAAATACGCAGGGATGGGTGGTTGGCAGTGTGTTTGGGAAAAGTTGTGCTTCTGGTAATAGGGGACATTCCAACTCTCCCTCATTGGCAGGCTTAAAAATGGGAGGAAGAAGGGGTAGGTCGGAGGTAGAAGCAGATGTGTTTCTGGGGTCTTGGGGATCTGGGAGTCCAGGGACACAGGGAGGGGAGGTGGGGAAGGAAGGGGGGAGAGTTAAGAGGAGAGAAGTTGGGGGTGGGGGATGAGGCCCAAGCTGTGCTTGGGCAGATAAATAGGGTGTGGGACAGGGTGAGGGCTCTGTGGCCAGGGGCTGCTTGGACTGGAAGCAGAGGGCCAAGCTGTGGTTTGTCCCCTCCGACCACACCTTCCCACCAGTGTGCACCAGCTGCCTCAGCCTTTGTAAAAGGGCCAAATGTGGACACAATCCTGAACTTAGTATACTGTCAGCTAAAACTGGTTCCTTTCTTCTCTCTTAGTATCCTGCGGAAATCAGGAAATATGAGTATGACCCAAATTTTGCAATTCGTGGACTTCATTATGACGTACAGCGGGTAGGCTTAATTCTCATGTTTTTCTGCAGTTTAATGGTGTTTGAAAATAAAATGTACGTTTGGTGCTTTTCTTTGCTGAATAATTTAAAGTTGGTTTTAAATTATGTTCTTTGGCCTACAGAACCAAGTTATTCAAATGTCTTCAGATAAAATCTTTTTGAAGAGACTATGTATTGGAAAAGCATAAATGTATTTAGCTGTGTGGGAGTTACCATTTATTTCTAGTAGTCCTTTTTGGTATTTTGAGGAGGAGCCAGTTGCTGTATCTATTTTTTTTTTTTCTTTTGCAGATAGGCCATTTCCTTAAAGAACTGTACAGCACTTAAATTAATAAGCAAGTCTTTCAGAAATATACAGTGTGCTTCCTTGTTAGGGCAACCTAATGTTGAGAGGATTTATAATGATGCCTAGATTGCTTATTTAATATGCAAATTGTTGTGTATTATTTACCTGTGCATGTGTTTATGTTTTTAAAGGCAGTATTGATGAAGATTGATGCTTTTCATTACATTCAGCTGGGAACTGTCTACAGGTAAGAATACAGGGAGATAAATTTAATTCACCCAGAGTAAACAAGTGGCTTACCCATTGACTGTTCAATGATAAGAGGGGCTGCAGGGTGTGGATTATGACTCACTCATTAGCATTTGTCAAGGCCTGATACCACGCTAGGTGCTGAGGGTTTGGCTTCTAAGGATGTCCTCATGAAGCTCAGAGTGTGGGTCGGAATCCACACAAGTAAGCTAGTGCTGTCCAGAATGATGGACATGTGCGATGATGGAAATGTGCTCAGACCATTGGGGAGCACTCCGGGAGACTCTGGGGGATTCGGGAGGAGGACTGACTTTACAGAGGGGATGGCTGACGAGCTGAGTGAGGGTCCTGGTGAGGTGGCTTGGAGGGGACGGCTGTTGGGGTGAGGAAACAGGGTTTTCATTCCCACCATGATAGTTGCGTGGTTTGGATATTCAGACTTTTTCTTTCCTGTTTATTAGAATTAGTAGAAGTACTTCCAGTAGCCAGAAATCTTTGTAACTTTTAACATGGAAGTTTTACCTTTTTTAATTCTCTAACTTGGAAGGGGATTTAGGGGTGATTTCTATTAAGTTCATATCTTAAACAAAAAGTATGCATATCTTAGCTTAGATTCTTCTCTCACAACTCTTTGTTAAAAATCAATGTTTATTTATTTTTTATCAAAATAAAACACTCATACAGTAACAGACAGCATTAGAGATGTCACAGGGGACAACTGTCCTCCCTTACCTACCCAAACCTTTCTTTTTTTTTTTTTTTTTTTTTTTTTTTTTTTTTTTTTTTCCTTTTT